TCAAACACAGGCAAAACTTGGCTCACTGTTCTCTGCTGAAAGCCAATTGACTCTAAAGATCATCTCTCTTACAGACATGTATCTACAGATACGAATTTATTCAGAAACTATATTGTTAAAACCTATTAATTCCTGAAGATCTGTACTTATATCAAAAGTATGTGTAGTAATTTAACATTGTAGCTAAAGTACTCTTCCTATAAGGCATTGCCATAAGAACATTACATACTGCCACGGATTCCCCTTCTTTCATCTTGGATACTACACATGTAAAATAATAACAAAAATCACTTGAACTAAGAAAAGAGAGAAAAAAAGTCATTCTCAGGAAGAGAGTCCCCAGCTTTTCAATACAAAATATTTTGTACTTCAGTAATAGTACTAAACCCACCAGCTACTGAAAGGAAGAATCTGTTTCAGAAGTATTAGATATATACCTTTACAATGTACATCTCATTATAAAGTGAAATATTAAAGGATTGGCTATACTCTTCCACTGTCTATAGTTCTTATCCTTAATCCATCATTTTTTCCTGATACAGCAACAATCTTTAAGTACACACGGTACATGACTGTTGTCACACAGAACGTCAACAATCTTGTACTGAATATTTTGAGATTATTACAAGCCATACATGAGGTACTTTATTTTATCTAGCTGTCTATAGAACATATGTTTTCCTTGCAGTGTTAGCAATCTGAGGGAGATGGTTCAGCTTTTTGTTTAATAATATACAATTGCACCAGGGTTAATGGTATATCTTATATTAAAATTAGATATTCCCTTTCCACTGTCTCCTTTCTTAACTTCTTCAACTTATCAGACTTCCACATCTGAGCACAAGCTGATAGCTCTGCTGTTTGCATTATTCTACTCCCCGGTCATCTAAGCTGGTAACATGCAACTTATAATAGTTCAATTTCTGAATGCAAGGTGACCCATGAGATATTTAACTCTTCATTGTAGCAGTTCACTGTGAAAGAGACAAGTTTATACATGAAAAGCTTATTAAACTCAGTGTTTAGATCACACAGAATAATAATTCAGTGAGAAGGGACAAGGTCATGTTTACACCTATGCAATCAGAGGGAATAGTAACGACATGTTCAGAGGTTTTGGTTTTTCTCTTTTGGCAGGAAGTCCTAAGCTACATTTATTAAGGCTTTTATTAATTCTCCTTTCACTTGGGAACAAATCTTGAAAATCTGATGCCACTGCTAGAAATCACCATACTGGTAAATATTTTATTAGGCAAAAAATCTTCTGCGGAACACAGAAAGGTCCTTTCTTATGTGGCTCTTAGCAGTTTCTCGTTGTCATTCCCATGAAATATCATTTCCCCTAACACATGACTGCAGGCAGTCAGACAATAAGCTTTGAGTTATTGCTGCCAACCCCTCGCTGTGATCGGGAATCTTGTGCAGGGCCAAGTGGCACAAAGAGCTTAGCATGTTTTCCAAGGAACTGCTGTGGCTCCAGACGTGTCTGTGCTCTACAGGGCTTTTCTATGAAAAAGCTTCTCTTCTTCCCCTCAGTCAGAACAACCAAAAGATAAAGTTATGTATTTCATAAGCTAAATGATACTGATCAGTAAAGGATTCCATGCAAAAAAGCTGTGGGCTGCATTTTCTACCCTTCCTGTAAATTTGTATATCTTAGACCTTTTAAATAAACTTAAAAAACAAATAAATGATTAACTATCTGCCTCCACTTCCCTCAAAAGCAGTTTCCAAAGTACCCCAAAGTTCCCAGTCTTTAAAATTTTAGCCATTGAAAACTAAGATAACAACAAAAATCCTGCCGTGTGACAACTTTAACAACACTAGAAATATCAGCAATTCAAAGTTCACAATACTGCCCATCTTTGAGGTATAAGCAGTCGATAGCTTACTGTTGGCAGAAGATGTTTTACGAGGGAGTGTGTGCTGACATCTGGTTAGCAGGATTTCTGGAGTTTGTTATTCCTACACACCTACCCAAGGGCTTATAAACAAAGTCTAACACAGTAAGCTTGTAACACCATTAGAGAAGATGTCAGGGATGGCCAAAGCCCTTTGAGATTACAGCAGTTCTCAGGCACTAAAAAGGTCCCAGTTTTATCAGCATTTTAACAGTGCCATTAACATTTCAGCTTAAAACTTGTAACAAAAGTTATAAAAATCCAAGAACATAAAATATGGGTATAGTAATAAAAGTTAGTATCTTGCTTTTTATATCTACCTAGCTATTTTCCTTCGTTTACAGGGGATGGCAACCTGAAAAATTAGAAATAAAAGAAAGAAATAACAAAAACATCCTACAAGAACAGCCAAACTTAAGTGGCTGCTGCTGTCTGGCTATGCATACAATAATTATTGGAAGATATGGGAAAATGAACAAAAAATCTCCAGAAATTCTGCTCCCAGAGTTTTAATTAGTCAAAACGTGCTCCCACCAAGCTGATGCACTGGGACGCCTTCAGTGTTCCTCCCTGCGCCAGATGCTGTTTGCTCCGCTCAGAATTTCTCACACGAATCCCACTCTGTGAAGAAGTTCAGTGGGCCACAATAAGGCGCCTTGCCAAAAGAGGACTTTCATAAGGAGGAGCAGATGTGAATTTAGCACATAATTATTTGTAATAACAGTATTCAAGGAAGATACTATCAAGGGAGGCTTAGCACCCCACAGCTTAAAGAGCACAAGGATAAACAAAGAAAATTAAGCTGACTGTTGGCTTCAGAGCTTCCCTCCTGCTTACCTATGTGTTAGTAAGTTCAACTAGGACAGCACCTCATGGTACTGTGCTGCATATAACCAGTGTTCCCTGAAAGGGAATAGGTCCTACAAAATAATTAGGAGGAAAGACCTTTACAAGAAGACCATTTGTTCACTGTATATGCATGAAAAGAAATAAAGCATGTGTGTGCAGGAGGGAAATCGGCCATGATTAGTTTCAGACACGAATTCAGCACAGCCCATGCTGAGTTGCACTGAACATTGTCAGAGGAAAGAATGAGAAAAACAGCTTGAGACCAACATTTAATCGGTGTTAGACAACCTGCGTTTCTAAGGGTATTTAACCTGGGAAAGCCATGTAGTCCAATTTAGGAAAGACATAACAGATCTCACTTCACACAATAGTTCAGGCTTGAAGGGATCTCAGGAGGTTTCCAGCCCAACCTCCTTCTCAAAACAGGGCCAACCCAAATTTGGATCGGGTTACTCAGGGCTTTGGATGGTCATGTCTTGGAAACCTTCAAGAATGAAGGCTCCATGGTATCTTTTGTCATCCTGTCTCAACGCTACATCACTCTCCCAGTAACAAATAGATGAACCAGTCTTTCACCCACCTAGTAGCCCCCCTATCAAGACTGACAACCCAACTTGGACGCAAGGCTGCTGGGAGAAGACTGTGGAAAGTCTTGCTAAAGTTAAGACATGCACAGCCTCCCCTCATTTACACACCCAGTGATTTCACCATGGAAATAGGTTGATCAAGTGCAATTTACCATTGTTTAATCCATGCTGGCTACTTCCCAGCACTTTCAGCTTTCTTGTGCACATAAATGTGTTTTAAGAGGACTCACTCCATAACTTCCTGACAGACTAAATTGAGGTCAACTAGCCTGTAGTGCTTCAGATCATTATTCTTGTCCTTTCTGAAGATGAATATTGGTATTTGCTTTTCTCCGGTCATCACAGTCTGCCTCTGATCTCAAAAATCTTTTGAAGGTGATAAAGAGCTGCCTCACCACTCTAGATATAGCTCAGATTATCCCAAATACTAGTTTGGGGTCAACATTTTTCAAGAGATCCTTGAGATCCTCACCTCTTGCTAGTCACTCTCAGTAAACTCAGATCCTGTCTCTAAGCACAAAGGCCTGGACAGACTGTCAGAGAAGACTGATGAGCTCTTTGCTTCAAGTGTCTCAGCCTCTCATCTGTGTTGGCTGCCACTAAAATACCCAGCCCATTCAGCACAAGCTCACATTCTCCTTCTTCATTCCTTTACTGCTAATGCAGCAGATTTTTTTCTGGGGGGTGCTGTGACTTTCCTGAAGCCACCCCGTGTGTTCAGGCAATGCTTCTGTATTTCACTTTTGTAGCCTGCCACTGCTTTCACCTCCTGCGCGCTGTCTTTGTACTGCAGCTCAAAGTCACAAGTTCCCCGCTCAGCCAGGTCAGTCTCCCAGTATATCTACTCATTTTCCAAGCTGTACCATTCTTGTGCTTGGATGGTGCTGTCCTCAAAAACTTGCCAGCTTTCCTTAGCAGATTTACTCTTCAGAATTACACTCCACTAAATCTCACCTGAATAAGCCAGTCTGTCCTCTTGAATTCTAGCATCTGTATTCTATTCTGCTACATGCCTTTCTCACCTCTGTCACGATCTTGATCTATTTCCCTGAGAGATTTTCAATAAAAATCACAATCTTTGTTGAGCAGCCCATTGACAACGTTATACCATACCTTCTAAGAGAATCAGGATTAATTGCTGGGCCTGCTTAGCACTACTGGTCAGATTTCTGGAAGCGCTACAGAGACTGTACATTCAGCTTAGATAATGAAATGAAGCACAAATGGCTAGGACAAACCCCAGTATGTAACTACAGAGTATTCCCTCAGCCTGAGTAACAATCTTGAGTAACATCCAGGAATTAGCATGTCCTGCCAAAATTGTATATGTTTTCAGTTAAAATACACAACACCGCACTCTAAGATCCAGCAATGCAAAAATAAGAAACAAGAAAATTTCTATTACAGAATCTATATCCATACCTACCAGAAAGTAATTTCTTCTTGCATGCTCTAGATGAATGATATACTGCTATTTACACTTTTATCAACTACTGCATTAGGTGGTTCTCACTAATCAAGACTCTTATTGACGCTGCATCGCCTGCTATATTCATGTTTTCTTTAATTAAATACAAGCCTGACCTTTACCCTATGATATATGTTTCTGAACATAGGAAATGCTTTATTCGATAAGAGTATTTTCTCTTGGCTGGGTGCTCACCTTGGGATGCTGGTGAGGTAGGTCAGGACATTCTGGAACTCCTTCTCTGGGATCTCGCTGAAAGCTGGGTAGTCTGGAAAGGTGATAACAGGGCATCCATCTCCCCCTCTTCCACCTACAAAAGAAACAAGAAGCAGGCACATTTACATAAACGTCCCGTTAACTAGACTGCAATTTCCCAGTAATTAAACTATTGTACTTTTTCTTCTTTTGATGCAGTGCTCATCAGCATGGACACTACTTATTCTGAACAGTCCAATCTCTTCTTCGGAGTTTATAGAGTTCTATAGGAAGAAATTTATTACACATTAGTTTTTTCCTGTACGTTAAGTGTCTTGTGTGAACACAATTTGGACACCAGATGGCAGTGCATCTTTCATTTGATAAATGCCGATTGCAAGTAAATACACCCCATTTGGAGAAAAAAAATGTAGTAATTTAGGAAAAAAAAAAAAAATCAGAACTAAGCAGGCAAATCTCCATATTGAACCAAACTCAACCTCCTTACCACTTTGAACTCATTCCTGCAACCCTCCCCTCAGCTAGGGGAGCTAGCTCTCTACCATATCTATTTTTAGGTACAATTATACATTATTTTCAGCTTTCCCTGGTTACTCGCTTTGTTCCACTTAGCTTCTATAAATAGGCCATATGAAACAAAAGAAAAAGAACAATACACTTGCAGGACACGGCCTAAAAGAAGAACCACAGACCATGACTTTCAGGAAGTTCCCAGACCACCACCAATTGTCAAGGGCAAACGTGGAGCCGTCCAGCCTTGACACAGCCTACTATTTTTCAGTTCTTATTACACTCATTGGCGGTTATCATGGGTGGGGACGACTCCATCCTGCCTGTAAATACACTGTTGTGCTCTGCTTACATTACTCTAGTATTTTCCTGACGGGACACTTGAGCACACCTATACCTCCCAGTGCTGCTCAAGTGCTTTTCCTTCGTGCTGCAGGGCTTAGAGCCATGTGCTCTGAACTGCTCTGCATAATAAATTCCACCTAATTCCAGCTTTAACATCGCTGGCCTAGAGAAGTCGCTTTCTATATTGCGACTTGAAGTACGTGATATTGCAACTTGAAGTACACGGCCACAAATGAAAGACCTGCTGCTCTAGTAAAGCCCTTGCTCCTTGCAAATGAGCATTTGTCACAGCAAGCTACATAAAGATCACAGAAAACACAGCCAAGTAAAAATCCTACATGTAAGTAGTGTTCGTATGAAATACTAATATAGTAGAAGAGTTTTTGGTTTTTTAACATGTCCTTTTTTTTCAGAATGAACTTAAGGCAGCAAGGAATGTTTATTTTTTCCCTTCATTCAGAACCACTTATCTTTGTTTCACCTCTGCAAAAGCATCATTACCCAGTTCAGTCCTAAATTAGCTGTGTAAAATGTGATTTTCTTCCCTTCTCCTGAAACTAAACCAAGCCACAGAATTTTGGTGTGAGCAGATAAAAGGGAAACTTTTTTTTTTAGAAGAGCAGGAAAGCAACAGAGTGACAAAAATATATAACTTGACCTCTCTCATACTTTCTGAAATATGTTTTTAAGGCAAAAAATTAAATATCTTATTAAGGCCAATTAACATAATAGTCTTTCAACATTCCAAACCCAGTTACGAAAAAGACAAGAAAACTCACCTGAACTTCATGAGTGCTACAGATCATGACAATAATTCATTTTGTAGAGTCATTTAGAGTCATTTCTAAAATAAGCAACTGTAATTTTCACAAAATGTAAAAATCATAATCCAGAAAATAGTATTTCTTTATTTTATTTTAAAGAAATACAGGTCTGTTGGTAGAGTGACTGCATCTACTTAGCTCACAGTCTCAACAGCTGCAAAATCATCTCTCCCTGCAATTCACCCTCCTGAAATGTCCACCATGGCTGTGGACCAGGTTGAACTTCTTTGCTGGCCAAGTTCAATTCACCATGGCACACACAACCCTACTCTCCTATTGCTAGGCGTAAGCAGGGATGCATTGACTTGTTCAGCTGAAGTGTAATAGTTTTACATGTTCTTAAGACAACCAAGTATATCTTTGGGAGCATATTCAATCTAATCTTAGGTGGGTTTTGTTGTTTTTAATTTTTTTTTTTCTGAAAGGATATTATAGCCCTTTCTTTTTGAAGATACGTGCATACTTGCACGCACACAAATGCTGTCATGACTATGCAAGGGAAAACGTTGAAAAAAGTCTGTTATTTCTTTTTGAGGTATTCATCAAATGCCACTTGAGTGCCAGCTTTTGTTTTTGGTTAAATTGCAAAGAGCAGAAGAGAACACACCGCTCCTTAAGCACCTGCAATCAGCCCTCACTCATTTTGTCTGAAATGGTTTCCAAGAATTACTTGAGACTGGTCTCATTACATGTGTAGCTGTAAGGAACCACCTCCAAATGAGAGGATCGTTATTTTTCAGCCTAAAAATGGAAACGCCATAGAAGTGAAGAGCACTGAAATGTATATCTGCAATTAAACAAAAACAAAATACCACTTTACATGAAGTAGATCCACTTCCACCCTATTTCCGTGAGCCTTCATTAAAGCAGTACTTTGTTATTAACTCATTTACAACCGACTTGGCAAGCCTATTCAACTGAAGCTTCCAAAACAAATTTGATATCAAAGAAAACAAATTACCCATGTAAACCGAAAGGTTTTCGGTGGATAAACCCCTACAATTCCAGTAAAATTCCAGTGGGGCTGTCTTCTAAGTAGAAGACTGGCCTTGGTCTACAGCCAGTTATTACATCAGTGACAGCCCTGCATTTTGGGGGAAAATAAGCATTTTGAAAACACGTTGAATTGCGTTAGCTATACAAGTTAGGTAGCAAAACGACTTAATTTGGCTTATGAAGTAGCACACAGGGTTCCTAACTTTTGTGTACAATTTTTTAAACAATAGCACTGACCATTAAAATTACGTGGATTCAGAGCATCAAGAACCCATGGATACTAAAGGAGTGGAAAAGAGGTCCTTTGAAACTAGCAAACCTAGGTAATTTAGCATTTATTCTCTATATTTTGCTGCATCTAACTTTTCCTACCACAGTTAGGAAAAAAAGAACATCATAAAAAAGAAAATTGCAAGTTGGTAAGGTGATAAAGAACTGCCAAGCCAAGGAAATTTTAACACTTTTGCACAAATTCTAATCAAGAGGCATACAATGGACTCGTTATCCAAAACCACTCTTAAGTGACAAACAATTACTGCTACTCTTTTCAGTTTAAAATCGCATTGAAAGTTACAAAAATTATGAAATTGGCACAGCTGCTAAAAAATGTGTGCACAGAGAAAACGAAAATTCCCCACAACCCAATAAAAGACATGCTGTTTCTCCTAGTAGGGCTGGCAAAATCAGGGAGCAGCAAAGTAGAATGCTCAGACTTTCAGGAAACAAAAGCAGATTATTTTGTGGTGTTCCCCTAGTTATTCTGCTCCAGTTTGCAAATGAAAAGGTGCTCTCAAAAGCACTCTACCCAATGCCACAAAAAGGAAGCAGTGTAGGTGGATATAATTATATGATGACAGATTTAGGTTAGAGGACCTGTATTTTAGCTCCGTCATGCAAATGAAATGGCACTCAGATTAAAAGATATGATTTTTATATTGATCAATATGGGCACACGAGTCTCAAGAGTTGAGCAATTTGACAACGATGATGATCAACAACTTCAGTTCAAAAGATCCAGCTCGTGTAAAAGTGATCTTGTTTGCACTAACGTCAAAAGTTAGATACTTGTGTGAATGAGAAAGCCTTAATACATTATTTATTTATTTATTTATTTGACTGCTGTTGTGGTTCAGATACTATGTTTATGTGTTTCTGAAAAGGAATTTATCTTTTCTCCTTGAGGAATATACTCAATTGGAGTACTCAAAGTATCTGAAATTAAGAGTAGACTTCAAATGAAGTAGTGGATAAAAGCTTCACTGCATATCCTTTGTAAAGGAAAAATAAGAATTGAGGTTTTTATTAAAAAATATTATTTCCTTGAAATGACAGAAGTTTTACATTACTTCACAAGCTGCATTTTGCTCAGGCTGATCAGTAGTAAGTATACTGGGCTAGAAATCAGTTGTGTTTTTTTTTTTTCTTTCCTACAGACAGCAAGTTCAGTGTACTGAATATAAAACCACAGTTCGGTCAACACCTGAGTGAGACAAACCACTACTGTTTCTTGCCTCTTCCACCGTCAGTACAGGACACTTAGAATAAATGTGTTATATAGGTAACAAAACTAAAATTTCCAAAATCTGCAATCTGTATAGTACAGAATCCACTTAGAAATTCTCAAACAGAGTTTACAGACTCAGGACCCACCAATACAACAAAGACAGCAGTTTAACCAGTAAGGTATTTCCAGGTCACTTCCACACAAGAGAGCAAGGACATTGCTGATGAATTCCAAGTTAGAGAGAGCAAGGAGAAGCAAATCATTTACAAGGATAATTTAAGGGCCAAAGATTAAGCATTTCTAAAAGCTAGAACCAATGCTAACTTTTTTTCAACTGCAGGAAAGCCAACTATGAATAAACATGCAAAAATGCAAGTTGCATGAAGAATTAAAAATAGCAACCCATATGTATTTTTCCTTTAATGAAAATAACTTTGTTTGAAGTTGTGCATTGCATGAAGAGGCATTCAAACCGAAGTGAGCTGAAACAGCTGGTTTCAGTACTTGTGGTGGCCAGAAGTGTCATTTGCACATCACATAGCTTGTATGATTTAAGATGCGTATAAACAGATACACCTGTCTGTATGCTCTTGTTCATCTCCATTTGTTTTAACAAACCTGCATATGGCAACTGCAGATAGTTACAAAGTTGGGTATGAAAGTAATATGGCAACTTTCTAAGCCAGGAATGAGAAAATAAAATATTTGTGAAAGAAAATATAAAATGCAAATGAGAGACTTTAATCAAGGTATGTATTTTCCAGAGACTTTTGAATAGAGCCCCCAATGTCCCTTTAGAGGGGAAATAAATAAATAAAACAGTAATAATAATAAAAAAAACTTTGCAATACAGGAAAAATGGTTACAAAAATACAAACTAAATGAAGAACGTGTTAGACAGGTGAAACAGTGAACCATGTAGAGAGGACTGTCTGCTTTGGTATGTGTAAGGGCACACCTAATGTAGCTTAGCAGCAACAAAAAGCAAACAAAAATTCTTAAAGTTAAGGACCTTGTACCACAGAAGGAAGAAACTCCAAGGAAGAAATGTAAGCAGCTGGGCCTGAGGTAAAATATTAACACTGGGGTTTGTAATCTTGTTTTGTGAATGACTGATTTGAAACCTCATCCAGAGCTTGCCCCTATTACGTGTGAGCTGAACACAACTGCAGACACACTGCCAAGCCACAGCTGGAGCCTTCAGCATCTGTAGGAGCAGCTAGAACCTTGAAACCTTAATGCAATTACATTTGGCTACGCTTGCTGAAAATTTAAGAATTAAAATAATGTTCTGTTTTAAATTGTTTTGTTCCAAGCCTAACTTGGATGTCCCCAGAGCATTTATATTATAATCTAACACAATGAGACACACAGAATACTCTGTACCTTGAGAGGAAGAGACAGACAAACAGGTGATCCTGTTTTAGGTCAAAACACAGAAAGTAGCTCAGGAAGGGCTACAATCTTCAGCTGTTGAAGCAGACTGGTTTGCATTCACTATTAAGCAAGCGTCCCGCAAGACCTAGATATATCCTATTAGTGAAACGGATGTGATTCTCAAGTATATGTTGCATTGGTGTTGAAAAAAAATCACTAAAAATTGAAACGTTATATATGACATTAATTGATTCACCACATCTGCAAAAAAGCTATCTACCACATATATTCATAATCTAGAAACTTCAATTTTAACTGTGTTTTGTATCACATCCTAAGATACTATTTTAAAGGCAACTTATTAATTAAAAAAATGTCCCCTTCACACACATACGGAAGGCCTTAAGTGGCATTCCAGCAAAGCTACTTGTAAGCACAACAACTGCAATAATCAGTAAATTGGTAAATTGTATGTAAATTGAGTATCAAAACATTAACTCTGTTCTTTTGTTCACAGAACCCATAACAGCGCTACTTGGTACAGCACCGAAAATAAAACCCTCAATGTCCTGCAGGAGGACATTAGGATAAAAGAATTGAATTTCAAAGTGAAATGAAAAAGCATAACAATCTAATTGCCCAATAATAATACAGTGTAACGAAGAATATAGTTATAGCCCATAATAATGCAGCTGTCCTACTATTTCAGGCGAACAAAACAGACTTAAAATAGATATGAGATTTAAATACAAACTGAATAAAATAGAACAAGGAACGGCTGTCCTCACTAAGCTCCACTGCACAGCAGATGTAATGAGTGTTGACGATGCCTGTAGAGAACTCAAGACTGGCAGGGGGTGAAGAATCTCCCATTGGACTCAATGAGATTTCAGCCGTCTACTGAAATCACCGGTTTTCCACTCACTTCTGAGGGTCAAAATATAAACCTTACTTGGAGTTGCCTAGAAAGACCGGTTCTTGCATAACACTATTTCACACTAATTTTTGCCCCTGGATAAAAAGTAAGAGCTTAGAAAGTCAAAAAAAAATCCCGGAAACGAATTGTAGCTTACACACCATCATCTCAAATGAAGCATGAACAGCCAACTTCATGAACAAAATAGTCTTATTTTCACTGTGCTACCATCATCCCATAGAAAACACAACCACTACTACAGTTCCAATGCTTAGTTTAGCTTATGAGGCAGGAATAAGTTATAAATAATGATCAGCTGCTGTAACAATGAGATTTAAAAAGGTTTTATCAAACAAAGCAGCATGTTGTTTTGTTCCCAGGTGTCCCTTAATCTGATGCAGGAAGGGATTCAAAGGCGAAAGAACAGTCAAAGTCCAACTTCAGCCTAGAAAGGTTAACCTCCTTCATACTGAAGGAGGCAGGGCTGCTCTGCAAAGCTCATCCCTCTCCATGCACTGGAGGGAGGGCAGGGCAGTAACTCCAACAAGTTCACTGCTGCACATCTGTGAGAGTTTTACACACAGGAAGATGAGAAAACAAACACAACAACACAGAAGTTTATCAGACTCCTGTCTCAGCCTGATCAGTGAGCATCTCCCTTTATCCGTTAGGGATTAGTCACGGTTGGTCCCAGCATCTGGAGGGACCAAGCTCAGCAACTGATGCCTGCACAGCACAAACACATTGCTTACCTGGCACAGGTAATCCAGGGGCAAAGACACGCTGTGCTGTGTAAACACAGCTGTGCTGCTTTTAGAGACAGCTTTAAGTCCACAAAGCCAGTTCCTCTGCAGAATGAATGCAGGGATGCCAAGAGGAAAAGCCCTTCCAGAGCTGCACATGTCTGAGCCTGGCACTGGGACTGCTGGGGAATGTGCTACTGTGGTGCTCGCTTCAAACATTGCTTTGGTAAAGTCCAAGGTGTTAGCTTAAGTTTCAGTACTGAAGCTGACGGCAGAGCCAATGGCAGCTTAGTCTGCAGTATGAGGGCCACCAGACCACAGCTATATCAGCACAGCCATGCTGCATCTCCAATTCCTAACAACGGCTCAGTTAGATTGGGGAACTCACTATCAGGGTGCAAGCCCTGTCTCAGCCATGACCGCTGGAAAGCACAGCTCCCTTAGCACTGACTACATGTTTGTGTACCAGGCTCCTCCACACTTCCTTATTAATTTTTTCCCCATTTATTCCTTTATACTATCCTCATTTCCATTCCATTATCCTAGATGCTGAAAATGATTGATAATTTGAAATTTCCATTGTGCCTTATTAAGTAAATACCTTCACTTTTTATAAATACTTAAATAACAAGTATTGGTAGTCTGTATTTTCAGTTTCTTATGAAGTACAAATTTGTTCTTCAGAAGGCATCAGAAACCACAAAGGCATAACAGGCCCAGCTGTACAACTGAGCAGTATCCACATGAGGGAACATTGTAGACTTCTTACCTGACAGGTAAGCAAATTGTTTCTTTAACTGGTCCTGAATATCCGCAGCATAGAGGGGAATGATATCCTGATGCATGATTTCATCTGTGGGAAAAAAGAAAAAGAAAAAAAAAAGCATTTCAGTCATTTTATACAAAATTTTAGAGCAGACATGAACAACAAAATCAGCACTAAGAAAACAAACAAAGAAAATGGTCTAAGCTTTCAAAAATAACGTGAAAATATTTGGAGTCTTTCAAGTGTTTGCCAGGGGCAAACTTTTCTTTGAACAGCATATTGATAAAAGATTAAGAGTGATGTAGATTTGCTGACACGTGGAAGGTGTACTGGATGTCACTGAACCGGACGTTGTGAAGCTAATATTCCTCAGGAGTCATGTTAAACAGTGAGATTTTACATATCAAACGCATTTTTTATTAAAACCTTCTCAATCTATATGAAAAGGAGCAGAACAAATGTTAGCATCCCACTTGCCAGGCCTCACTGAAACCATCCCACAATGTAGATCTTCCCAAACTCCAGCGCCTACCAACTCCTCAGTGGATTTTATGGAAGGAACAGCACACAGCTCTGAAAGCATCGGTGCTATACCATCCAAAGGGAAATTCTATTGATGAATAACCTTCATTATTCCACACAAAGGGAGTATAGCTGGCATTTCTCATGCCAAATAAAGGGTAGGGTCCTGCCAGAACCTTGCCTAGGGCCTAGATACCACAAGGCAGCACCGCTCTGCGTGATGGGCCTAGCAGGCCTGGAAACTCAGCCCCACATGGGATGCACTGTGGAATAGTTTTGCCTAATCTTTTGTCTTCAACTCTTCTAGCTCAGGTTAATGACAAGTGTAATAATTTCCTGAATCTTAGCTTTTGGCCACAGTATCTGAGCCAATGTGCTTACCCCAGAAGGGGAAGGTCAAGCAGAAATCTAAGTCTTGTTAACTGCTTGAATCTGCTGACCACGATAAAGACCTCCATTTCTAAGACATGTCAGAGTTGCCTCGTTCACTGAGCTATGACCTTGTTCTTAAAAAGAAAACAAAAAGTTTTACTCTTGTGATTCCTAAATATTCATTATCCTATATTTTTTGAGCCTCATTGAAAAGCAGTGAAAGAATAACAGCATTTTCATTCCTTGGTTTTGAACTTTTTTTTAATGTAAAGAAGTTTTGTTTTTGTTATTTTTAAAGTACATTAAATGCCATTAAGAAACACTCAGTTCTTATACTCAGAACCGTATGAAGAAGTGAGCAAAAAATAGAAATGAGGTATAGGGATAAAGACTATCTGTGTTAAAGTACAAGCTGATTGAGCAGAAGCACTGCTCTGGCCCTCAAGGATGGGCTTTGCTCTTACAGAGACCTTTCAAATGCCAGAAATTAAGGGGAGAGCCCTACATTGCTATGAGCAATTCTCATGCGTGTACAGTTCTGCGAAATGCAACTATTTGAGAACAGTTCCCCAAAAAGCATTCAGCTATTTCTTCCAGATAAGCAACAAGTCATACTGGGAAACAGAACTTCTCTGTTCCCTTTCTGACAGCCTGACAAGAGGAGCAGCCGTGATCACTGTCAAGGTCACGCTCTAATCAGAGCTATTTTTCTGCATCCGGTGAACGGCTGCTGGATCAGAAGACCTCTGCATACCATGCTGTCAAATCCATAAGTGGGCAGATTTAGCTGTCAAGTCATATTTCTCCAAGACCTTCAGTTATGTCATCATCTTAAGGTCTTAAGGAGAAAATTAGGAACAGGTCTCTTACAAGTCCCATCTCAGATGGCCAACTCATTTCCAGAAGAGGGGACCCACCTCTCCTAAAGAAAACAGATTTTATTTTTACTCCAAGTGCTTTTTAATACAAAGAGCCTACCTGCAGCAGTGGTTAAGACACTAAAGCCAATCCCTGATTCTGCAAGGGAACCCATTTAGCTGATCCTATGACAGGATCAACACCAACTTTTTTGGTGGGAGATAGGAAAATGGAAAAAAAAAATCACAGTGTAATACACCATCCTGTCTACAGTCACATGCAGAAGTAATTTTCCTTACTGCCACATAAGCCCATAATAAAACAGGTGTGAGTTGCGTACATAGGTAAATACATGACACGTAATATTTAAATAGGCAAGATGTTCATAAGTCAGGGAAACTATATTTTATGTCTACCAGACACAAGGATTCCTGCTTCCTGTCATGCCTGCATGATCAGTCACGTTGCTGTCCTGACTCACGCCACACAGAGATGCAAATTGCTTTGGTTGCCTCACTGCTCTCCCTGGCAGAAGCAACAGCTTTTGCAACCCGCCAGGGCAGCCCACAAACTTGAGATCACACACTTTCACTGACGGTGCAGCATTTTCCTCCCCCTGGTTTAAAATCTCAGTTTTATTTCAAAGAGCCAGCATCCTTGCAGCAGCAGGAGCAGCGTAGCATGCCCACTTCCAGACCAAAACCCTCCCGAAGCCCATCCTGTTGTGGCTCTCTGCCAAAGCACAGCCCTTCCCCACCTTGCTCTGGCTCATCTGGTTTCACGACACACTTCAGGAAGCAGATTGTGTGTTAAGATCAGAGCTGATTTTCAATAATTTAAAAAAAAAATAAAAAAAATAAAAATAAAAGAGAGAGAGAGAGATAAATAGCATAATACAAAGTGAGGAAGTGCAACTCTTGAAACTCCCGAGCTGTTTATGTTCAACAACTTGACAGGATGCACTTGAACCCAGTAGCAGAGATGGGCCGCGGAAGAAAACCATGAAAGCATGAGGCAAAGGACAGAGAGCAAGCTAAGTACTTGAATGAACAGTAACCATCAAAAATGAGACATGGGCAGAGAACGTCCATGAGATTAAGGAAACAGACAGTCTTATACAAAGTCAGGACTCTGGGAATTTATTCCTGCTTCTCCATCACATCTGCTATGAATTTTATCCACCATTTATCAGCCACAGTATCTTTTTTTTCCACCTGACTTCTCATGAATAATCTTCATAATCCAAAAAGTTACCTTGACCAATAGATGGCATTCATTACAACAGAACTAAGTGATGTGACCTTGAAGTTACAATAATAGGCAAAAGTAGCAGTTATCCATGTTAGCCACCCTTGTTGGTGATAAAAAAAACAAACAAAATCTGCAGTCACATTTATGAAACAATAGAAGTTTTATCATGTATTTAGCTGTGACAACAAGGAGCTTTCCCTTCTACAGATGAAGGGCAGAACCCAAAAATACAAATGCAGATACAAATGTAAAAACACAAATACAAAAGCAGAAGCACCCCGAATGTGATAATGCTGTAGTATCCAAAGTGCATCCCAACAATTCCCATGTTTCTGCAGCACCCACCAGAAAAGAAAAGGCAAGTTTCAGTGAAATTGAAGGCTTTTCCTAATCCATGTTGCAGCTGTGTGAGGGGATTGCAGTTTCCATAGAACATTACTTGAACACCACTAAAACAGTTGGTGTGACAAGCTACAACATAAAAAATCTGGACATGCTACAGAGGTCAGTATGGGCTGCAAAGCCAGCACAGGACATTAAGTTCCGCGCCCAACCACTTCGTAAATCTTTATGCACTGCAAGCTAGGAAAAAAGAATAGTTTCAGTGCTGTAATTCAGCATTTTGGTTAGTCAGAAGTTCGATTTAAAGTTGCTTGGGGCAAGTTTTGTTTCTTTTTCTTATAGGATATAAGAAGGATTCATTTTTGGGCTTCCTACACTATGTACCTAGTTTAAACAGATCATCACTAACCTCAATCTCCATGAATGATAACTAACAAAAGGTTCCTCAGCCTTTAAAAGCCACACTGGAAGCTGATGCTGAAATGTTGCCCTTTGGATTTAATATTACATACAATATCTGTCATTCATTCTTGTTTGCACTGCTTTGTGCAATCCTATCAAGATGGTAGAGTAAATCAACAGCCAATAAGGATTGGAAAGTAAACAATAATCATTTCTGACGTTTCCTTGAGCAGGATCGGATTATTTAAAACAAAAGGATAAAACAAACACCACCAACAACACCTTGACACACAAGTGTAGAAGGCTGTTGTAAGTCACTGATCCTAATTGTAAGAACAGCTTGCAGACTTCCTGGTATTTACATACTGAAACAAAGAAAAGCCCTTAATTCTTTAATGTAATTCTTTCATTACTCCCATATCCATTACTCTTTCCCAGGCCTGAAGAGTTGAAATACTGGCATAAAGCTTTCTTTAAGATGCCAGGATTCATTTTTTTCTTGAAAAGCACTCACAAAAAGAAACACATTTTTCAAGTGCATCTCTCAGAAACTGGTCTAGCACACTGGCAACAGAGTAGGTAAGCAAATTGATGTCAATTTAGAAGATGGAAATAGCATACAAACACAAGCTGCTTCCAAACACAGAATATTCTTAAAAGCAATCTGTAAGATATCCAAAACTGTTCCCGAGCAATGTTTCCTAATCCTTCCTGCATGATGGCTGTAGGAAGAGTCTTCAGTGCACAGGTACCAAATTTCAGATTGGGAGGGAACAAACCCAAACTTTTAACAGCTTTTCACTCTCCAACTCTCCCCTCCAAACTTAACACAGGTATTTCTTGGAAATACCCTTTAAATAGAGAACCTGCCACCTGCTCCATTCTTTAGGGACAATCCCCATTTTAGAGAAGCTAGTAAAGTACGTATAAAAATATAGAGTTACCGAAAATCTGTTTTTTAAGGAATTCTTATGGGCTCAGACTCTATGTATACTTACATGAAACAGCATCCTCACAGCCCAACATTTACGCTGTTTTACCTTGACTGTCTCACACAGTATTTTCAAAACAGAGACCCAAGAGAGTGTCTGTTTTTCTATATGTAAAATTCATAGCTGAAAAGAGATACTCGTACCAAAACATGCTAGAATATCCAGTCTTTCTTGAAGAGCTCATTTAGAGTTTTTCTCAACAGTCTGCTTAAAATGAAGGCCTCAAGATTTATAATGTAGCATTATCATATTATAATCAAGATTTATAATGTACATCTGGTATTGTGGCTACTAATGAACAGTAAAATAAGACTCTGCGAAGTCATTGCTGCTATTTTTTTAAAATTA